CTCTTTCTCTCTCCCTGCTCCTCTTTCTAAAAGTAAATAAATAAATAATTTTTAAAAAATCAGCATTAAGAGCGAAACATGATGTTTCGGAGCCTATGCGCAGAGAGGAGTGTCCTGGACTAGCACCGAGCTGTGGAGGAGATGACTAGTTAGCATCAGTGTCATCCCAGGGGACACTCATGCATGAAGGTTTACTTTAGAACACAGAGCAGGTATGTCTTCAGATATATACATATACATTGATTTCCAGAAAACACAGACTCTTGCTTGAGTCATAAAATCTATTATCCTATCATAAGGCATTAATATCTTGGCAATTGAATAAAATGTGAGTATTTAGAGGAAAATGCCTTCAGCTACTTTAACCATATTTATAGTTTTCATTTTGTAAAAAATTTCAGAATGTCTAAGAATTAAATATTTTTATGTATTTCGAATCAAAACAAAGCAAAATGCCTACCAAATGATAAGGCTGAAATACCAGCTTAGAGCAGAGCCTTGCCAACCTTTTGTGTAAATCTAGGTTCTTTTATTTATTTTGAGAAGTCTGCAGCCTTGAAAGTACATCATATGAGAAGATGTGCTCTGATTGCAAGTAGAACTTTGTATGTAAAGATTTTGTTTTTCCTGGCTTCAAGGAGCAAACCCTTGTTTATCTAGAATGAGAGAGAAAAAAGAGACATGTGACATTCCTGAGTTAAATACAAACATCTCATACACTTGGAATAGACTGAGAGTTGTGTTATTGAGTTTACTTGACGTTTTTCAAACATTTCACTACTTTTCATTAGGTAGCCCCTGCCTTCCAGGCCACGGGTTCTCCATGCACATTTGTTTAGGGTGATGCTGATGACGACGCCAGTGCTTTTTCAATGAAGCCCCGCGAAGATGCAGCTCAGATGCGCTGCGCAGACCCAGACTTGAGCACCAGTCTGAGGGCAGGGCCCATCCAGGGGCTGTTGACATTTGGGATGGGATGCTCTGCAGGATGTTTAGTGTTCTCCTTTTCACCACTACACTACTTAAATACTTGCAACACCCCTCAGTCATTGCGACAATCACGGCAGCATCATATTTTTCAGTGCCCTCTAAGATGTCCTGTCTCCTACCCACCTACTCCTCCCCACCCACCTTAGTTGATAAGCTTTAGAGAATCATCTCTTTGCATCTGAAGATGTTAGCTTTGGGCACCTCAAAGGGTTAAGTGTTAAAAGATAAACTGAAGCATAGTAAAAAAAATAAGAGTTTATTTCAGCAAAAATTAATTGGAATGGAGCAACACCAAACTGGAAATGGTTTCAAGTGCTGTGAGGACAGGAGGAGGTGGAGGGGGAGGAAAATTTATGTAGAGTTAAGTACAGAGGCAAAGAAAGAAAATTATCTGATTGGCTAGAGCTTAACGACTAGTCGGCTGTTTGTGTTGGCTGTCTTTAAAGTTTTGATTTTGTAACCATGAGGCATTTACAGGCTTAGATTTTGGTTTGCTTACATAGACTGGCATGGTATTAGAGCCATGTTAATCTAACCTAACCCAGCCTAATCCACCACTCCTTTCTGCATGGACGTGCCCCTTTCATCTCTTCGGCTGTCAGGCCGAAGTAACAGATACTGGGATCTTGTTCACAATCACCATCCCACCCTTGATTTTCCCACTAAATTGCACACAAATGCTATAGATCTGCTATAGAAGACTTTGGAGTTATTCTCTGGGAAAGAAATATTTTAGAAATTTAGAAAGTGGTGTGGAGCCAAAAAGACAGAGGGGCAGTAGCCCAGAGCAACATGCAGTTTCTGAAACCCTTCTGGGCGTAGCTGTGGCTACAAGATGATCTCGGATGGTGTAATGCCTTTGTGTTGCCCTCGACTCTGAAGAGCTCACCCTGTACCTTTCCATCCGACGCCTGCCATTCCAGCGGCACCTCCGCCCTGACTCTGCTCCCAATTGTGGTGTCTTATTTCTTGTTGATCCCTATGTTTGGGGCCCTTAACACATGGAAACTTTTATAGCTGGGCTATTATTGAAATCATTTGAAGGGTTTTTTAGAGAGGTTACAGAACGTGGTTTCAATGAGAGAATACCTGGGACGTCCCCTTATAGGTGTGCTGTCCTGAGAGCACTAAGTTGTAGTCCCCACGATATTTGTGAGGCAACATAGCTGACTATTCCACGGCTGACCTAGATCAGAGAGCCAATCGGGGAAGCTGCTTTAAGGTGGGTTGTAAATGCTTCCTTGGAAACAATAATTTATCTAGAATGGAGTTACTACTCATTCCACAGGAATATAGATATCTTGACCACTAAAATAATGGAGAAGATTCATGAAAGTCTCTAGAAATTTGGAGAAAGTAGTGTAGTGGTGAAAAGGAGAACAGTCATTGGCATTCTGAATTCAAGTCCTAGACTGATTCTATTGACTGTGTGACTTTGAGAAAGTTACTTAACCTCTCTGAGAATCCTATGATTCTCAGCTATTATATAGAAATAATAATTTAACAGGGGATGATGACAGGGGGTTGTTTAGAGGATTACATGAGATAAAATAAGTGCAAAATTTTGATAATTCCTGGCTGTAATAAAGATTCAGTACATTGTAATTATGATGATTATCTCAGTGGAAAGAACAGACACTTGAGAAAATAAAGCTTTTGTGGGAGAAAGTAGAGGAAAGGAGAGTTGAGGCAAATGAAATAAAAACCTTTTTTATAATTATGAATTTAATAACCCTCAAAATATTTTGAGGTTTCAGAGAAACATAGGAGCATAGGAAAAAAAAGAAAAAAGAAAAAAGCGGGATGTATATGGGATTAATTAATGAAATAGATTTAAGAAGGAAGAATTTTGAAGCCTTTGAATTAAGATGCTAGGATTTATAGCAGGTCTCCTTGCCCACCAAAGCTTGTTAATCTGATTCTCTAGAGATCAAAGGGATTTCTTACATTCTTCTGGGGCCAGTAGAGTGGCCCCATTTAAGGGTGGAGCCCCACAGCCCCAGACTGAACTGTGGATGACAAAGCCGTCTCCGACTGGCACGAGGAGCTCCGGGACTGCCTCTTCCAAAGAGCAGCAGAGGAGCGGCTCACGAGGCAGCATGGTGTGTGGTTAATGCATGAAGAACTGTAGGAGTGCTGAACTTGATTTTAATTTCAGGGGAAAAAAATCTGCTAACTGTTGGATTTCTGTTAGGAAGCCTGTGGAAGGGTAAGTCTAAGGGTTCTGGGGAATGAATGACAGACTTATGAGTAGCTGCCGTGGGACATACGTGTAGGTGTGAGGAACATAGGCATTAGGTAGTGAGTTCTTTGAAACTCACTACCATGCTCTAAGCCCCACTCTGCATTCTGGGCCTCTCGGGTCTCCTCTCTTCTGAGAGCATTGTTAATAATGCCCAGACTGATAATAATGGTAAGAGTACATTCATAGTAACGATAGTAATTGCCACTTATGTAATATATACTAGGTGCAAGGCACTGTGCTGGGAGCTTAGCATATAATATGTATTTCTTAACAGCAATTCAGTCCTAGGAACAATGCCACAAGCTTTACATATATTGTCTCTAATTCCTATTACAAGCAAAGGGGGTTTGATTTTCCTTGTTTCACGGACAAAGAAATAGACTTATTTAGAGAGGTTGTAGTGTGTGTAAGGCCACACAGCCTGCTGGGACAGAACTAGCCTTTGGACCCTAACCTTCTCTAGGGCAAAGGTCTCGTGTCCATCTTTCGTACCCTTCATAGCACAGCCCTCAGCTCATTGTTCTGCAGAAGGCCTGAAGCAAATACTAATTTATTAAATGATTTAAATGAATATTTGCCACCTGTACCCAGAGGCAGTACTGCGGTATGTGCCTTTGTGTGTACATCCTAGGGGTGGAGTAGATGTGATTTCTGAAAGACCCCTGGGTGTCAGCGCCCACCTGCCCTGAGCTGCCAGGTGCCATGCTGCCTCCCCCCAACCTTACTCTTCCACACCTCAGAGGATCCAGGACTTGGAGCCGGAATTGGCCTTGCACTCCATCTGGCCCAACCCCCTTCATTGTATAGGTGTCCCATCTATATACCTAGAGATCTATGGCCTTTTGGAGAGAAGCTCACACTAGTGAGTGGCAGGGCTGGAATGTGAATGCAGACCACCTCCTAAATCTTCTCCAGCCCTTTTTAAAAATCATATAATAGCAAGACAGGGAGTGAGGGGATGTTAGAGCGAAGGGACCTTGTCCTTCCTCAGTCAGCCATGGTGATGCCGAGTCTTGCAGCAGGTCTGAGGTGGAGTGACCCAGATCGCCTGCTTGTCCGTCATGGCTGCTGAGGCATCACTTAGCAGCCCAGGTGCACACCCCTGGCAGGCAGGCCGTCAGGGTCATGCAGTCTGCCAAGAGCGATCGACGATGGGACTGACTATGTGGACAAGGGGAAAAGTTTGCCTCTGAAAGCCGACCTCTGCATACTTCTTTACAGACCAGTCAAGCTACACATTTGTGTACATTTCTCTAGATAATATTTATTTGGTGTGCCCTGCTTCTTTAAGGTTTCTGCTGCTATCCCTGTCTAAACATTCCTGGATTAACTATGTATAAGAAAATCTCAATTAATCATTTAAAAACATGAATATATGTAGTTGAAAACACTTTTATTGGACAAAGTAACTTTTTCAAAGTCTGCACCAGGTTTCAGGACTTCACTGCTGGGAAACTGTCCTACACAATAGAACCCTTCCTGTGTTGCACCTTCCCGCAAATAGAACAGCACCCTCTTGGGCATATGTTATATGGAAGGCCCCTTGGGAGAAAACAAAAAGCTGTGAAAATTCCCCTCTGTCCTTGTAGGGGACTCACTGAGATGCACTATGGCTCCAGCAGCAAGGGTATCTGGGAGCTGTTGGACTCTTAACTCCCTGTGGTTGCAGGCTTGGCTGACTACCCCGAAAACTGGAATGCCCCCAGAAAGGGGGTTAGTGAATGTATAGAGTGTGATAACTGTCTGATGTAATCTGTTAACTCAGGGATGCACTGTCCTTTCCGGTGGCCCACGTGACTGCCCACCGCATGGGTTCCTATGAACTCCCACGATGAGAAAGAGGCCCTGCCCGGGGAGCCGTGTGGATTTTCCCCGGCCGGCCACCCTGGGAGCAGCAGCTGCCTTGCCTGTGGAAGTCTCTACCATTAAAGCTCTTACGAATTTGAATAAGGCTACATGTCAGTTCTTTGGAATCAATTTTGAATTTAGACTTTTGGGCCGTCCCCCCAACAGTCCTCAAGAGACATGCAGTTTAGTTGCAGAAAGACAACGACACCTGACAGGCACTGAACCCTTCCCGCCAGCCATGCCCTGTGCAGAGCACACGCCATCTCATTTACCCCTCCTAACACGCCTGATGAGGGGGCCGGGAGTGAGAGACTGAGTGGCTCGCCCACGGCCACACCTCTGGGAGTGGCAGAGCTGGGATATTTACCTGGCCTTGCACTGTGGCCAGCAGGCGTCACACTTAATAGTCACGGCTGGGCATGTGGTGGTTCCCCAGCAAGGGAGCAAATGTGTGGTGAGCCCAGTAGCTTACAAGTTTTGCATCCTAACAGTCCCATTCACGGGCCAGGCTTAATAAATGTTTTGTGGTTGATTGTTCAGAATCGGGGAGCCACAATTCCTGCGGTGCTCTGAGCGTTGAAATACACCTTATAAGTAGTAAACCCTCTGTGCAGCTCGGATGAAATCGGGCTCAAGAACAGTTCTGCAGATGGAGCCTGGGCAAGCCTAGCACACGGGCATGTGGGCATCTGCTCATCCCAAGCTGCTCAGAACTCATAGCTTAGGCATTGCTATGCCCCATTTTCTCGAGCAACTTTACCTGTGGTAGTGGAGAGTCAATATTAAGTTCAGGGGTCAGGAGCCCCATGTACAGATTAAGAGCTGTGTGGTATCATTAAGGAAAACGAAGCTTGGAGCTGAGCCTGTCCTCCAGTGCTGCACGTGAAGCTCTCAGCTGCGGTATTGCCTTGGTCCTGGCACCAGAGGAAATGTGTGTGCCTGTGTGTTTCAATCTATCTCTTCATTTTTTTTGTTTATTTAAGTGTTAAATTTTGCTGATGAATCCATAAGATTCTACTTTGCTTTCGTGGGAGGAAAGCCTTCATCTGGGCTCCACTGCAAACATCAGTGTGTAAAAGTCACGCTGCTGAGGGTTGGGTCTGGGGAGAGGCAAGAATCAAAAAAGAGGGGCCCAGTCCACTGGGGCCTGGGTCCTTCCTGGAATATGTCACCTGTGTCATTTAAAGCCACCAGAGACATTTCCCAGCCATCTTCACTCCCGGACACTGGGACCTGGAAAAATGCTTGTGTTTAGCCTCCCTCTACCTCCCCTTTCACTTTGGTGCTTTCTTTTCCAAGAGCATAAGAGCGCTACCTGTGTGAGTTGGCCAGGCTGCTCTGCAGCCAGAGAATCTGAAGACTGGCTAGGTCCCAGGGATGCCACACCCAGGACTGCATGCCCTGGGGAGGAGAGGTGAGCTGGTGACTCAGGCCAAGGAAGTGCAAAGCCCAGACCCTCCTGTTCATCAGTTCCTCCCAGGCCTTAGCCCAGGCTTGCTAGTCAGGCAGTACAGACAGACACTGAGAGCCCAGCCGATCACCGGGATTCCCTGAAAACCAGCAGTCTAGGACCTGTGGATGACAAAAACGACTTGATCTAATCTTCATTTCAAGTGCCAAAAGCTTTTTTTCTATTCTTTTTTTTCCTTTCTTTAACTTATTTGGGAATTTTTCAGTGAAGTTATATGAAATGAGCTTGTTTCCCAAACTCAGATCTAACCAGGATTCTGCAGTATCCTTCTTGTTCCCTGCCCTCCAACTACATACAATAAATAAATGCTATGGCCAAGTATTATTACATCGTGGGAGCAAAGTTCAGGCTGAGCCTTGCAGAAACCACGTGCAAAGGAGCCCTGGACATCCTGGTCATGGTTCTGGGGGCAGGGCAATAATTAGGGTTTGGCCTTCTGCCTGGGAGAGCAGGCCCAGCTCCAGGCGTCCCGCCTCTGAAGACCACCTCAGAGTCCTTATGCAAGGAGCCCTGGGCTGGGTCATCACGTCCCATGGAAGCTGACCGCTCCAGTGCCAGAGAAAAACAGAATGTTATGAAGACCAAATTATTGCTCCATTACAGCTTCAGATGCACAGACAGTCAAAGAGCCTTTCTCTCCCTCCCCGAAAGTCTTTGAAGAGCCCCTTTCATCTGAGTTTCCCTGAAGCGAGCTCCGCTTAGTTTGGCTTTTTTTTTTTTGAGGATCTACTAAGTGTCACACCTGTGCCAGGCAACATGGAAAAAAAGATGAACGTCCACATTTTGTGTCCTCAGTGGCCTCAAAGGGCATTTGACCCAGTGGTTGCTGAGGCAGATGTAATAATGAACCCACAGGTGGTGATAAGAGCCCACTGCTCATGTCAGGTATTTAACAGGGGCTGCCCTTCCCTGGGATTTGAGCTTCATGGAATCCTAAAGGAGACACTTTCTGACATTTGCTTTCTTTCTAACACTCCCTACCTACTGGTTTAATGGGCTTATAAAGGAAGGAAGTAAATATAAAGTGTGTTGAATGAGCAGGTTCCTATGTGCTCACCTTTCCACTGGGGATGCCTGGGAGACGATGTAGAGCTTGCCTGGCCTCATCCCCCTACCTGTGGGCTCAGGATGCCAGGGGATGTGTCTGCAATTTTCTCTGTTTTCAGCGGAGGGTATTAACTCCTGGCAAGTCTGTCCTGACAGTTGGCAAAGCATTTTCCTGAGGACAGAAACATCCTGAGAAATCCTCCAGCAGAGCTGCTAGAGGATGTGGGAGGGTGAACACGAGTGAATGTGGGCATCACAACACCTACCTGGTACAGCCAGGCCTAGGCCTGAAGGAGCAACACGAGGGAGGAGGCAAACCTCCGAGGACAAGCAGAGAAGCAGCAGGCCTTGTGGGAACGGCAAAATTAAGGCCCAACCCAGGGAAGAGGAATGCAACCCCATGGGCGTTACTGTCAGTTTTTCTGCTTCCCACGTGTGGGAGGGGTGGTAGGTTCAGAGGTGTTGTTTCATACAGCTCTCTCTTGGGAGAAATTTCCTTATGAAATTAAGTATGTGCTTAGGGCAATAGGTTTGAATTAACCTTACACACATGTAATGAAGTTTCCTGAGCCCACTGAGGGCCTGAGTACAATCTCCAAGTATCGCCTGTACAATTCTTACACCAGCTTACATACAGCTTCAGCAGGTGGCAGGGGCTGCTGGGTAGGAACCTCTGTGTGATCCCTGCTGTTCATCCTCATATAAATGTTCTCTGGGACCAGGGGCCCACCTTGGATGTTCTGGAAACTGCTCCACCTCTGGGTATCAGGGACAGTTTCAATGTTCAAGCTTGTCTGTCAGATGGAAGTTTCTGTGACCTAGAAACAGGTCTGTGGGAGGCCCCATTCGGCTGCACTGAACCAGCTTTCCGGGAACAGAGGCGAGTCCCCCTGCCCAACTCATGGTACCCAGACTCAACAATCAAGAAATCCTGCAACGGCACTGGGGTCAAGACTTGGTCCAAATTCTTGTTGGAAGTTCCTCTGCCTGGCTTCTAGGTGCCAAGGACTTTGTTAGCACTTATGAGCTGTTCATTAGCATTGGAGGCCATCAGCCGAAACTGGCAGGAAGGGCGGGCTGGGGAGGGAGGCTGCCTGAGCCCTGAGCATTTGTTGGCCTAAATAGTTGGGCACTTGGTCAGCCACTCTCCTGCTGGCGGAGCCTGTGACGCCACTCACCACAGCCTGGGATGAGCCAGCAGCCACCTCTCCCACCCCACCCCCAAAAGTTCTGAATGCAGCGAAGAGAACACTCCCGTGTAAGCCCCCTTTTATCCTCACATGGAGAATAGATTGAAGCTCCTGAGGAGTCTTTCAACACTTGGTTTTCCACTGCACCACGTCTGAATTTTCCATTTGGGCGAGAGGAGGGCAACGGAAAAATGAAAATTCCCATCTTGACTAAGAGCACTCTCTGTGGTTGGGCATGCTCCCTGAGCAGACATCCTGGCAATAATGGTCTCCTCCAGCTCAGTGATCACACAGTGATGTCCAGCCCTGGACTACCGGGCCCGTGTGCTTTTTCTTGCCTTTCTTTTTCAGGGCAATGTCTCAACCTCCTGAGGGGAGAAGGAGCAGCAGGTGGCCAGAAGAAATAGTCATGCTCCAAACATTCTGCTGGAGGAGAATGTGCCAGACCGGGGGGACCCCACCCATCTCAGCCAGAGCTCCAGCTCTTCCCTCCTCTGCTGGGGGTTCGGGCCTCTGACGCTGCCTGTGCTGCCTGACAGTGGTTTGTCTGTGAGGGGCGTTGGAACCTTCCAGGGCACGACTTGGTCTAGGGAGAGAGACAGGTGTAGTGAGCCGAGCTGGGAGGAAAGTGTTGGCTGTTGAAGGCCGGGCGGGATTCTGACTTTAGCCCAGGTGAGTCTGTCCTCACTCTGGCCCCTTGGACACAGGAGCAGAAGGAGTGCCAGTAAAATATGTGGATAAAATAACACATATTTTTAAGAGGCCTGCTCTGTCCCTCACTCACTGACTGAGTGCCTTTGGGCAAGCTGCCGAACCTCAGTGCCGGGCTCCCTCAGTATCAGTAATGGTACAATGTTTCCAGCTCCCAGGGCTTCGAGGTCCTATGAGAATGTTTGTAAACCGCTTAGAACAGTGTACCTGTCAAGCGTTTATTAAACAAATGGAACCCAGAACATCCATAAGATGTAATGGTACGAGGGGCATGGCTTTGGGACCCTTTAACAATGCACAAGGTGAGGAAGCACCCTCTTCTGCAGACAACACGAGGCTCTAGTGCATCAGATAGCAGCACCCCGCACAGTGACTAGGGTGTCCAGGGGTCTCCCACAGGCAGCAGAACCCTCTGGGGACACAGAGACACCTGGGATGGGGGGCTGGGCACTGGGGTGAAGCCCTGCACGGGCGGTGAGAGGTGGTACAAGTGGGCGCACATTACTGTCGATGCGGCCTCGTACCGGCTAACTGCTGAGGCTGAAGTTCCTTTCTGTTTCTACTTCTGTGAGGCTGGGCTCTTCCTTACACTCCTGAACTTTAATCCTTGTGGACCTCGCTCACAGAAAACCCAATTTCAGATCTTCT